CAAGTACAGATAATGTTTTGGTTGCTTTGCTTGTGTAAGAAAATGGCTCTGAGCACCTCTTTCACTGCAACATTGACTCTGTTTTACCTTTAAATTAAATTATCTTTACGAAGAACTTTTATTATTTTATTTTTGTATGCATCGATATCAACATGCATATATTCGTTATGGGTCCATGTAAATGTACCGTGGGAGAGAGATTGCACGTTGCTTTTATCTCGATCAACTCAAATTACTTCAAAATGACTCTCAGTTTTTTTTTCTAGTATTAATTTTCAACTAAACGCCAACTATCATTTAGAGCATGCGTGATAAATTTTATTTCTAAATTTGTGAATGATCAAAAAGTTTTAAGTTGTGAAATCATTCTTTTATGGGTTGATTCTATATAGGAATGATGACATTTCCAACTAAAAACCAGTTAATAGTAAATATTGACCAAAAAAAAAAACTAAGTTATTGACCATCTGTTTTATACATTATGTAAAAGTATTAAGTTTGGATCAAGATCAATGAGCAAGATAAAAAAGGCTATGAATCTGAATATTTTATGAAATATATATATATCGTTGGTTATCATTCATATGTTTTTCAGCTTATCGACATGTCATATGTTTATTGAAAATAGTATTTATAATCATGTGAAGAATTATGTTACTACATGAAAATGACAACCATCAAGTATTGCTTGACCAAAGCTCGTGCGGTCACGTGGGTGGAGCCAGTGATCGAGACATCAGGTGCATAATGGACCACGCTGGTCGTTCCCTAGAACCCAACCAACAAGTTTTATTTTTTTACTCAACATCTCTGGTCAAAGTCAAATTTCTCTTCTTTGGGCTTTCATTGATAATAGAAAAGCGTTTAAAGGTCCAGCATATTATAAAGCCCAATTAACTTAAACTGTCTACAATATTTTAAATGGGCCCTAACGAATATTTATCTGGCCCATATAAGCCTGGATACAAGCTTTATAACCCTGCGTCTCCCACCTCTGTATCAAACCCTAGAGAATTTTCACTTGAGCCGCTCTGCGAAAGCATTCTCGATCGTACTCTAAAGGTACTTTTGATGCTTCTCCATTTCTTTCTTCTCAATCATTGAAAATCACTGTTAGATTGTACATACATAGATTTGGTATAGAGCTTTTATTTCCCCTGAATAATCTTCCATCGATTTGAGGAGTTTTTCGTTTGCGATTTAGGGTTTTCGTTGATCTGTTTATACGCTGAGTTTATCATCATTTCACAGCCTTGTCAGTTTTTTATTTAGTTAGAATTTTGGATTTTAACTGATTTAAATCCCCGATTTGTGGATTCTTTTTTTGTAAATCGGTGATTAATCTTTTGGTAGTGTTCTTCGTTCCAGGATAAAAATGTCGACAGTTGGAGAACTTGCTTGCAGCTACGCAGTTATGATCCTCGAGGACGAGGGTATTGCTATTACGGTAATATGTGTTTGGTTTTTGCTTGTTTCTCAGTATTTTGTTAATCATTTGTTCTTAGGACATAGAGTTTTAAGTGTTAGAAGGCATTTTCTGGTGAGTTGATTGTTATATTCTGAGTTATAATGATGTGATAATCCGGAAAATTTTCTATTTTTAGGTTAAGCATAAGAGTTGTAGAATTGGGATACTTAGAAAGTGTTTGATAATCTTTTTAGAGGCTTATGTTTTTGAGGGGTTAAGGTTTTGGAATTGGATGAAGGTCTTTTGCTTTTATTGACTGTATCCTTGACTTGATGTTGTTAGGCGGACAAAATCGCTACTTTGGTCAAAGCTGCTGGTGTCGAGATCGAGTCATACTGGCCAATGCTATTCGCCAAGATGGCTGAGAAACGTAACGTCACTGACCTCATCATGAACGTTGGTACTGGTGGCGGAGGAGGTGCACCGGTTTCC